CAATCTGACTGGATGATCTGGTTGACGTGGATCTATAAAGTGCCTTGAGATGACATGTGTTGTAAATTTGGCGCTATAGAAATAAACTGAATAGAATCTCACCTGTTCATCCAGGCCAATAACGACCCTAAAGACCCCCCCTTTCAGAGACATAGACAGGTATGGGCATTGCAGGCTAACCACTGTTGGGCACGTTACTTTGAAAAAGTAATTAGTTGTAGTTACTAGATACTTCTCCCAAAAAGTAACTGAGTTACTCCTCAATAAAAGTAACTAGTTACTAGTAAAAGTAACCAGTGGTGGACTGGGACAAAAAAGTGGGCCCTGGCATTTTGGACTAGACTGGCCCACCACATTTTTTGGTGTACTGAATGTTTATAGCAACGGTGCAATACCTTAAGGCCAGGTTCAATTAGTGAGAGTGGACACTTAGAATACTTCCAACATCTTAATTTATTAACACTGTAAAATGTAAACTTCACCACAGAAACAATTCTTAGATGAGAGAGAGAGAGAGAGAGAGAGAGAGAGAGAGGTCACAGTCAACCACACAAATGACGCTACTCTTCTCATGCTCTTCTGTGCGCTGGTGCACTGGCCTCCCATCAGACGTCCCAGTAATAAATGAGCTTCTATCAGTAGTCTTTCCAAATGCAATGCATACAAAACTAAAATAAAGCATGACGTTTCTCACAATATGTGAGCCTCCTGTTGGTTGCATTTTTAGTGGTGAATACCTTTTGCACAACTGTTTTTTTTGTGCTTTGTTGTGGGGGGTGATTCAAACGGTTTTGTAAAGACAAGGATCAGGACGGGCAAAGTAATCTATTACCTCCTGCTCTCTGCTCTCATCTCTCTCGCCATGTCTCTCCTCAGCCACACTGACATCATGTTCACTGCTCGGTTCGCCGTCGCCTCCACTACAACCACAGACATCCCAAGTTCCAAGAACTCATTTCAGGGAGATGCTTAATGGAGATCAATTGTGCCTTCATCAGTAGTGGATTAGAGATATACAGTGAAGTTCACAAGAGGGCCAATTCAGTTTGGTTCAGGTAGATATTTCATAATGCAGAAAATAACGATCTGATTGTACAATTTATTTATGATGCTTTATAATAATAAATAAGTGACATAAAATATTTGCTTGCATGCTTGCATTAATTATCTGTGACCATGTTTTTATAAAATAAATAATTACCCCAATGTTTTTTTTTTTCCCTCAGGTGCTCTGTGCGCTCGCATTTCCTCTGGTGCCCTATTGTGCCCCTGTATAGTACTGGGTCAGCTGACGCCCCTGGCCGCACCATGCCTCATACATGCACTCCATCATTCTTCACCTTCACTAGACATGGAGACACTTTTTGCTGCAAAATGAGGAGACTGTAAAAGAGTAAACTGAAACTTATTGGCTTATTTTCAGACTGATCCAATCAGCTCTCTGATCAACCAGTCTCCTGGAACGCTGGTTGATCAGAGCATCACTGTGGACAGATACGCAGTACAGGTTTCACCAGCAACCTCCTCCCCACACCTCTGTTGTTCCTACGCAATCGCAGTAGTTCTAATCTGCACATGATGCATGATTTATTGTACTGCCTGCCCTCTCTCACTGGCATTAGAAAAGCACCACCTCCCAGAGTCTAAAATCTAAAATATTTATCCGACTCGCGGGCATCAGTGAACAACTGTCTATATCAGGGAGACGCCTGAAACTTCCAGGAGACTTGGGATGTCAGCAACCACCATCATATTTACCATCAGACACTGGAGCAGATGAAGGGCCTGCTGATGGGAACATGTCAGTCAGTTTCTCTGCGCCTTCTTCTCCATTACTACTGTGAACACAAAGTTCCAGTGGAGAGTGAAGGTGTTTCTCTACTCTCTGATTGGCTGAGCCCTTTAGACTGACAGAGCTGATAACCAATGGGCTGCAGTAGCCTGTGGTAAGGGCCGGATGATCGGAACAGACTCCTGCGCTGCTGATTTGATTTTTCTTCATGCATTATGCAAATATAACGAGGCCGATATATAATAATAATAACAATAATAACAATAATAATAATAATACATATTATTAATATACGTGTGGGGTCTGCCGGCCCAAACAGCACATCCGCTCACCGGGCAAATGGCCGGTACGCCCGATTACCAATCCATGCCTGAACGTAACTATTGCGTTACTTTTGCGTTTCTCGCCCCCATAACCCTCCCCACCCAGCCCCCACCTTCTCGCCGTGTGTTTCCAAAGCCAGCTGAATAGAGCGGACGACAACGACAAGAACCTGCAGAGAGTTTAGCATTTATTGCAACTCAACGTAGATGACATCAGGGGGGAACGCCATCTAAAGGGGCTTATAGGCCCGTCAGACAGTTCCCCCCTGTTCTTAACATGGGGAAACGCCATCTGATGCGGTGTAAATAACTTCAGGCTGCATTATCTCTCCTCATGGGAGTGAATTTTTTCAGATCTGGTGATGAAATTAATAACTGGGGATGTCTAATTCTGAAGTCCTGTGTGTTTGGGTTGTTATAGATACTGCAGCGTCTGTCCGTTACTTTAAACGCC